AACACTTCACTATCCACAACACGATTATGTACTACACTTCAGATTAAGATACACTCACTACACTGTTATACACTACACTAAGATACACTACACTATTATATACTACACTAAGGTACACTACACTAACCACTACACTATTATACACTACACTAAGATACACTACACTAACCACTACACTATTATATATTACACTAAGGTACACTACACTAACCACTACACTATTATATACTACACTAACCACTACACTAAGATACACTAAACTAACCACTACACTATTATATACTACACTAACCACTACATTAAGATACACTACATTAACCACTACACTATTATATACTACAACAAGATACACTACACTAACCACTACACTATTATATACTACACTAAGATACACTACACTAACCACTACACTAAGATACACTACACTAATCACTACACTATTATATACTACACTAACCACTACACTACTATATATTACACTAAGGTACACTACACTAACCACTACACTATTATATACTACAAGATACACTACACTAACCACTACACTATTATATACTACAAGATACACTACACTAACCACTACACTATTATATACTACAACAAGATACACTACACTAACCACTACACTAAGATACACTACACTATTATACACTACACTAAGATACACTACACTAACCACTACAATATTATATACTACACTAAGATACACTACACTAACCACTACACTATTATACACTGCAACAAGATACACTATTATATACTACACTACAATACACTATCCACTTCACTAATATATACTACACTACAATACACTATCCACTACACAATTATATACTACACTAAGATACACTAGACTAACCACTACACTATTATATACTACACTAAGATACACTACACTAACCACTACACTATTATATACTACACTAAGATACACTACACTAAACCACTACACTATTAAATATTACACTAAGATACACTACACTATTATATACTACACTACAATACACTATCCAATTCACTAATATATACTACACTACAATACACTATCCACTACACTATTATATACTACACTAAGGTACACTACACTATTATATTCAACACTAAGATACACTACACTATCCACTACACTATTATATACTACAACAAGATACACTACACTATCCACTACACTATTATATACTACACTAAGATACGCTATCCACTACACCATTAAATACTACACTAAGATACACTGCACTATGATCCACTACGCTACAATACACTATCCACTACACTATTATATACTACACTAAGATACACTGCACTAACCACTACACTATTATATATTACACTAAGATATACTACACTAACCACTACACTATTATATATTACACTAAGATACACTACACTAACCACTACACTATTATATATTACACTAAGGTACACTACACTAACCACTACACTATGATCCACTACGCTACAATGCACTAACCACTACACTTATATATTACACTAAGATACACTACACTATTATACACTACACTAAGATACACTACACTAACCACTACACTATTATATACTACACTAAGATACACTACACTAACCACTACACTATTATACACTACACTAAGATACACTATTATACACTACACTAAGATACACTACACTAACCACTACACTATTATACACTACACTAAGATACACTACACTAACCACTACACTATTATATACTACACTAAGATGCACTACACTAACCACTACACTATTATACACTACACTAAGATACACTACACTAACCACTACACTATTATACACTACACTAAGATACACTACACTAACCACTACACTATTATACACTACACTAAGATACACTACACTATCCACTACACTATTATATATTACACTATACACTACACTATGATCCACTACGCTACAATACACTATCCACTACACTATTATATACTACACTAAGATACACTACACTAACCACTACACTATTATACACTACACTAACCACTACACTATTATACACTACACTAAGATACACTACACTATCCACTACACTATTATACACTACACTAACCACTACACTATTATACACTACACTAAGTTACACTACACTAACCACTACACTATTATACACTACACTAACCACTACATTATTATACACTACACTAAGATACACTACACTATCCACTACACTATTATACACTACACTAAGATACACTACACTAAGATACACTACACTAACCACTACACTAAGATACACTACACTAACCACTACACTATTATACACTACACTAAGATACACTACACTAACCACTACACTATTATACACTACACTAACCACTACACTATTATACACTACACTAAGATACACTACACTATCCACTACACTATTATACACTACACTAAGATACACTACACTATCCACTACACTAAGATACACTACACTAAGATACACTACACTAACCACTACACTAAGATACACTACACTAACCACTACACTATTATACACTACACTAACCACTACACTATCATACACTACACTATACACTACACTATTATACACTACACTAAGATACACTACACTATCCACTACACTATTATATACTACACTATACACTACACTATGATCCACTACGCTACAATACACTAACCACTACACTATTATATACTACACTAAGATACACTACACTAACCACTACACTATTATATACTACACTAAGATACACTACACTAACCACTACACTATTATACACTACACTACACACTACACTATTATATACTACACTAAGATACACAACACTATCATACACTACACTATCCACTACACTATTGTTACACGACACGATTGTGCACCACGATAGACGACACCGCCACACACCGCCGAGACTCAACACTGCCCGGAGACTCAACACGTCGATACGCGGCTACGTGTTGAGTTGGTGCAGGGACCTGGCCATAGTTCACGCGCGGGCTGCCCGCAGAACGGCCGACTCACGCTTTGTGATCCTTCAGCTCGGCGAAGCGCGTCAATAACTTCTCACGCTCCATCTCCGTCTGCACACGGTCGCGTGAGAACCCAACCCAGGCACGCACCCGAGCCTTCAGCCTTCGAGCGGAGCGTTGGGGCAAGTGGAGTCGAGCGAGCAGCACACGAGCTCACCCTCACACACGCTCGCTCGCTGTCACACACACAGTCACACACACGCTCACCCTCACACACACCCTCACTGTCACACACACACACACACGCTCACACGCTCACCCTCACACACACTCGCTCACTGTCTCACACACACACGCTCACCCTCACTGTCTCACACACACACACACGCTCACACGCTCACCCTCACACACACTCGCTCACTGTCTCACACACACACGCTCACCCTCACTGTCTCACACACACACACGCTCACACGCTCACCCTCACACACACCCTCACTGTCACACACACACACTGTCACACACACGCGCTCACCCTCACACACCCACCCTCACACACGCGCTCACCCTCACACACACGCGCTCACCCTCACACACACACGCCCTCACACACACACGCTCACCCTCACACACACACACACGCTCACCCTCACACACACACACACGCTCACCCTCACCCACACAGGCGCTCACCCTCACACACACACACGCGCTCACCCTCACACGCACACGCCCTCACACACACACACGCTCACCCTCACACACACAGGCGTTCACCCTCACTCTCTCTCACACGCTCAGTCACACACACACACTCTCACACACACACACTCTCACACACACGCTCACCCTCACGGTCACAGACACACTCACCCTCTCTTTCGCTCACCCGCAAAACACTCACCCTCAATTTATCTCTCACTTTCTCTCTCACACGCTCACCCTCTCTCTCACTCACCCTCTCTCTCTCATACATGCTCACCCTCACACACGCTCACCAAGATGACCTTCCCACACTATCACCCACTCACCAATGCCACTCGCCAGCATGACCTCACACTCACCCACTCACCACCACCACCACTCACCAGGATGACCTTCTCACCCACTCACCACTAACCACCACTCACCAGGATGACCTTCTCACCCACTCACCACTAACCACCACTCACCAGGATGACCTTTTCACCCACTCACCACTCACACGCTCACCACCACCGCCACTCACCAGGATGATCTCACTCTCACCCACTCACCACCACTCACCAGGATGACCTTCTCACCCACTCACCAGGATGACCTCACTCTGATCCACTCACCACACTCGCACGCCCACCACCACTCACCAGGATGGCCTTCTCACTCTCACTCACTCACCACCGCTGCCACTCACCAGGATGACCTCACTCTGATCCACTCGCCACACTCGCACGCTCACCACCACTCACCAGGATGGCCTTCTGACACACTCACCACTCATCCACTCACCAGGATGACCTCACTCGGATCCACTCACCACTCACCAGGATGACCTCACTCGGACCCACTCACCACTCACCAGGATGACCTCACTCGGACCCACTCACCACCACCGCCACTCACCAGGATGACCTTCTCACCCATTCACCCACTCACCACCACCACTCACCAGGATGACCGCACTCTCACCCACTCACCACTCACCACCACTCACCAGGATGACCTCACTCGGACCCACTCACCACCACCGCCACTCACCAAGATGACCGCACTCTCACCCACTCACCACTCACCACCGCTCACCAGCATGACCTCACTCGGACCCACTCACCACCACCACCACTCACCAGGATGACCTCACTCTGACCCACACACCCACTCACACGCTCACCACCGCCGCCACTCACCAGGATGACCTCACTCTCACCCACTCACCACCACCGCCACTCACCAGGATGACCTTCTCACCCACTCACCACTAACACGCTCACCACCGCCGCCACTCACCAGGATGACCTTCTCACACACTCACCACTCACCAGGATGACCTTCTCACCCACTCACACGCTCACCGCCGCCGCCACTTACCAGGATGACCTTCTCACCCACTCACCACTCACCACCACTCACCAGGATGACCTTCTCACACTCTCACCACTCACCACCACTCACCAGGATGACCCTCTCACTCACTCACCACCACTCACCAGGATGACCTTCTCACCCACTCACCAGGATGACCTTCTCACACTCTCACCACTCACCACCACTCACCAGGATGACCCTCTCACCCACTCACCACCACTCACCAGGATGACCCACTCACCACTCACCGCCACCACCACTCACCAGGAGGACCTCACTCTGACCAAATCACCACTCACCACCGCCACCACTCACCAGGATGACCTTCTCACCCACTCACCACTCACCAGGATGACCTTCTCACCCACTCACCACTCACCAGGATGACCTTCTCACACTCTCACCACTCACCAGGATGACCCTCTCACCCACTCACCCACTCACCAGGATGACCCTCTCACCCACTCACCACTCACCGCCACCACCACCACTCACCAGGATGACCTTCTCACCCACTCACCCACTCACCAGGATGACCCTCTCACACACTCACCCACTCACCACTCACCGCCACCACCACCACTCACCAGGATGACCTTCTCACCCACTCACCACCACTCACCAGGATGACCTCACTCTGACCCACTCACCACCACCACCACTCACCAGAATGACCTCACTCTGACCCACTCACCACCGCCACCACCACTCACCAGGATGACCTCACTCTGACCCACTCACCACCGCCACCACCACTCACCAGAATGACCTCACTCTGACCCACTCACCACCGCCACCACCACTCACCAGGATGACCTCACTCTGACCCACTCACCACCACCACCACTCACCAGGATGACCTCACTCTGACCCACTCACCACCACCACCACCACTCACCAGGATGACCTCACTCAGACCCACTCACCACCACCACCACTCACCAGAATGACCTCACTCTGACCCACTCACCACTCACCACCACTCACCAGGATGACCTTCTCACACACTCACCACTCACCACCACTCACCAGGATGACCTTCTCACACACTCACCACTCACCACCACTCACCAGGATGACCTCACTCTCACCCACTCACCCACTCACCACCACCACCACTCACCAGGATGACCTTCTCACACAGGTGCGCCGTGTGATCCACGGCCACCTGTAGCTCCTTGGTCAGCTGCTGATTGGCCTCGTGCAGGCTGCGGTTGCGCTCCAGCACCGACTGCACGCTGGTGGACTGCCCCTCGCTGCCGCTGGCACCGCCACGGGGGAGGGGTGGGGTACGGTCAGAACAATCTTTATTATTCATACCGCAGGAGCTCTTCGTCGCAGATGTCCGGTAGAGAGATACATAGAGACCCATAGGGATACATAGAGACACACAGAGACACGCAGAGACCCATAGATAGACAGACCCATAGAGACCCATAAAAACCCATAGAGATACATAGAGACCCATAGAGACCCATAGAGATACATAGAGACACACAGAGACCCAGAGACACATAGAGACACAGACACATAGAGACACACAGAGACCCATAGATACACAGAGACACACAGAGACCCATAGAAACACAGAGACACACAGAGACAGAGACACATAGAGACACACAGAGACCCATAGATACACAGAGACACGCAGAGACCCATAGAGACAGACACAGAGACACACAGAGACAGAGACATAGAGACACACAGAGACCCATAGATACACAGAGACACACAGAGACCCATAGAGACAGACACATAGAGACACACAGAGACCCATAAAAACCCATAGAGATACATAGAGACCCATAGAGACCCATAGGGATACATAGAGACACACAGAGACACGCAGAGACCCATAGATACACAGAGACACAGACCCATAGAGACACATAGAGACCCATAGAGACACAGACACATAGAGACACACAGAGACCCATAAAGACCCATAGAGACCCATAGAGACCCATAGGGATACATAGAGACACACAGAGACACGCAGAGACCCATAGATACACAGAGACACACAGAGACACATAGAGACACACAGAGACCCATAGATACACAGAGACACACAGAGACCCATAGATACACAGAGACACACAGAGACCCATAGAGACAGACACAGAGACACACAGAGACCCATAAAAACCCATAGAGATACATAGAGACCCATAGAGACCCATAGAGATACATAGAGACACACAGAGACACGCAGAGACCCATAGAGACACAGACACATAGAGACCCATAGAGATACATAAAGACCCATAGAGATACATAGAGACCCATAGAGACCCATAGAGATACAGAGACACACAGGGACCCATAGAGGCCCATAGAGACACAGACACATAGAGACACACAGAGACCCATAGATACACACAGAGACCCATAAAGACCCATAGATACATAGAGACACACAGAGACCCATAGAGACACAGACACATAGAGACACACAGAGACCCATAGAGATACATAGAGACCCATAGAGACCCATACAGATACAGAGACACACAGGGACCCATAGAGACCCATAGAGACACACAGAGACCCATACATACACAGAGACCCATAAAGACCCATAGATACAGAGACACACAGAGATCCATAGAGACACACAGAGACACATAGATACAGAGACACATAGAGACCTATCAATACCCATAGAGACACACAGAGACCCATAAAGACACAGAGACACGTAGATACAGAGACACACAGAGACCCATAAAGACACAGATACATAGAGACACACAGAGACCAATAAATACCCATAGAGATGCATAGCAACACAAAGAGACCCGTAGAGATGCACACAGACAATCACCACTGGTGGCGGCGGTGGTGGTGGTGGCCGTGAGCGGAAAATCGAACTCGCTAACCACTCCCCCACCGCTCCTCCCCCTCCACCACCACCACCACCGCCACCACCACCACCGCCACCACCGCCCAACGTGGTGAACGGCGGCTCTGGATCCAGTTGTCTCTGCGTAAGCGAGCGAGCGTGCATGGGGGAGGGTGGGGTTGGGTGGTGCGCGCGAGAGACCCACCCCTGCATCGTGGCGATCCCTCCGCCCCGTGCCTGCAACAGCTGCACCTGCAGCTGTTGCACCTGCAACAGAGAAACGCAAAACTCTCGGTCGGCAACAACGACGACGACAACAACAACTTTGATTTAAAGCTTTCGTGACTGCAGTAATTCATATTCTTAGTTTTTTCGGTAAAGTCACGTTGAAGAGAAACAACAAAATAATAATATATATATAAAACAATAAAAAAATTCTCACGACGTTTCGACCATTACTCAAACGGTCGTCTTCAGGTGTGTTGGTTCGCATAAATTAATTTTTAAACGGCGCATTTATTTATTTATAAAAATAAATTTATGCGAACCAACACACCTGAAGACGACCGTTTGAGTTATGGTCGAAACGTCGTGAGAATTTTTTATTGTTTAATATATATTTTGTTATTATTTTGTTGTTTCTCTTCAACGTGGTGACTTTACCGAAAAAACTAAGCATATAACAACAACAACGTTCACAAATCTGGCCGTCGCCTGACGAAGCCGGTTGCAATCAGCGGCGAAACGTCACGGTACTCAGATTGTAAATGTTGTGGCTCGCTTCTCCAACACACAACCGGTGTAGTGCTGTACTAGTATACTACACTATACACTACATCATACACTACATTAAACACTACACTACACACTAGTGCTGTACTAGTATACTACATTATACACTACATTATACACTACAATAAACACTACACTATACACTACACTATACACTAGTGCTGCACTAGTATACTACACTATATACTACACTATACACTAGTGCTATACTAAACTACACTATACACTACACGATACACTAGTGCTGTACTATACTACACTATACACTACACGATACACTAGTGCTATACTATACTACACTATACACTAGACTATACACTAGTGCTGTACTAGTACACTACACTATACACTACACACTGGTGCTGTACTAGTATACTACACTATACACGACACTATACACTACATTATACACTACACACTAGTGCTGTACTAGTATACTACACTATACACTACACACTAGTGTTGTACTAGTATACTACACGATACACTACACTGTACACTAGTGCTGTACTATACTACACTATACACTACACGATACACTAGTGCTGTACTATACTACACTACACACTACACTATACACTAGTGCTGTACTAGTACACTACACTATACACTAGTGCTGTACTAGTACACTACACTATACACTAGTGCTGTACTAGTATACTACACTATAAACTACACTATAACACTACACTATACACTAGTGCTGTACTAGTATACTACAATATACACTAGTGCTGTACTAGTACACTACACTATACACTACACTACACACTGGTGCTGTACCAGTAACAAATTGGCACGTCCTGTTTACGTGACAAACCTCACCAATTGGCTGTGTCGGGTAGTGGTGGCGGGTTTAACGACACAACGTTTATATTTACACAATAAAATCCGACAAAAACCTCTACTTTGGGTATGTTTTTTGAGGTGTTGTGAGATTGCTCTTCTGCCGCGAGAAATTGCCCTAACTGAACGTGAAATTGACCCAACTTACTGAACGTACAAATAGACGAACACCAATTTCATATTGTAAAAAAAAAAAAACAGAAGTGAGAGTATAAATGTACCGCATGCCGCACTCACAACCCCAATCTCGAAGACTCTGCATCAGGGGGCAGGGTGGGGTGGTGACGTACGTACACGCGCTACGGCCTCTCGTTTCAACGACCGTGTGATTTGTGACGATCGCCCCACCGGAACCTGATGCAGCCTTCAGCTCGGGTTCGCCCCGGCGAACAGCCGAATTACGCACGGCACCTTTCACTATACACTACACTATACACTAGTGCTGTACTAGTACACTACACTATACACTACACTATACACTAGTGTTGTACTATACTACACTATACACTAGTGCTGTACTAGTACACTACACTATACACTACACTATACACTAGTGTTGTACTATACTACACTATACACTAGTGCTGTACTAGTACACTACACTATACACTACACTATACACTAGTGTTGTACTATACTACACTATACACTAGTGCTGTACTTGTACACTACACTATACACTAGTGCTGTACTAGTACACTACACTATACACTACACTATACACTAGTGCTGTACTAGTACACTACACTATACACTAGTGATGTACTAGTACACTACACTATACACTAGTGATGTACTAGTACACTACACTATACACTAGTGATGTACTAGTACACTACACTATACACTAGTGCTGTACTAGTACACTACACTATACTATACACTACACTATACACTAGTGATGTACTAGTACACTACACTATACACTACACTATACACTAGTGCTGTACTAGTACACTACACTATACACTACACTGGTGCTGTACTAGTATACTACACTATACACTACACTATACATTAGTGCTGTACTAGTACACTACACTATACACTAGTGTTGTACTATACTACACTATACACTAGTGCTGTACTAGTACACTACACTATACACTAGTGATGTACTAGTACACTACACTATACACTAGTGCTGTACTAGTACACTACACTATACACTACACTAGTGTTGTACTATACTACACTATACACTAGTGCTGTACTAGTACACTACACTACACACTGGTGCTGTACTAGTACACTACACTATACACTACACTATACACTAGTGCTGTACTAGTACACTACACTATACACTACATTACACACTGGTGCTGTACTAGTATACTACACTATACACTACACTATACACTACATTACACACTGGTGCTGTACTAGTATACTACACTATACACTACATTACACACTGGTGCTGTACTGGTATACTACACTATACACTACATTACACTGGTGCTGTACTAGTATACTACACTATACACTACACTATACACTACACTATACACTAGTGTTGTACTATACTACACTATACACTAGTGCTGTACTAGTACACTACACTATACACTACATTACACACTGGTGCTGTACTAGTATACTACACTATACACTACACTATACACTAGTGCTGTACTAGTACACTACACTATACACTACATTACACACTGGTGCTGTACTAGTATACTACACTATACACTACATTACACACTGGTGCTGTACTAGTATACTACACTATACACTACACTATACACTACACTACACACTGGTGCTGTACTAGTATACTACACTATACTATACACTAGTGCTGTACTAGTACACTACACTATACTATACACTAGTGCTGTACTAGTACACTACACTATACACTACACTACACACTGGTGCTGTACTAGTACACTACACTATACACTACATTACACACTGGTGCTGTACTAGTATACTACACTATACACTACATTACACACTGGTGCTGTACTAGTACACTACACTATACACTACATTACACACTGGTGCTGTACTAGTACACTACACTATACACTACATTACACACTGGTGCTGTACTAGTACACTACACTATACACTACACTATACACTAGTGTTGTACTATACTACACTATACACTAGTGCTGTACTAGTACACTACACTATACACTACACTATACACTAGTGCTGTACTAGTACACTACACTATACACTAGTGCTGTACTAGTACACTACACTATACACTACACTATAAACTCGTGCTGTACTAGTACACTACACTATACACTACATTACACACTGGTGCTGTACTAGTACACTACACTATACACTACACTACACACTGGTGCTGTACTAGTATACTACACTATACACACTATACTATACACTAGTGCTGTACTAGTACACTACACTATACTATACACTAGTGCTGTACTAGTACACTACACTATACACTGGTGCTGTACTAGTACACTACACTATACACTACATTACACACTGGTGCTGTACTAGTATACTACACTATACACTACATTACACACTGGTGCTCTACTAGTATACTATACTATACACTACACTATACACAAGTGCTGTACTAGTATACTACACTATACACTAGTGCTGTACTAGTACAGTACACTATACACTACACTACACACTGGTGCTGTACTAGTACACTACACTATACACTACACTATACACTAGTGCTGTACTAGTACACTACACTATACACTACATTACACACTGGTGCTGTACTAGTATACTACACTATACACTACACTATACACTACATTACACACTGGTGCTGTACTAGTATACTACACTATACACTACACTATACACTAGTGCTGTACTAGTACACTACACTATACACTAGTGCTGTACTAGTACACTACACTATACACTAGTGCTGTACTAGTACACTACACTATACACTACATTACACACTGGTGCTGTACTAGTACACTACACTATACACTACACTATACACTACATTACACACTGGTGCTGTACTAGTATACTACACTATACACTACACTATACACTACATTACACACTGGTGCTGTACTAGTATACTACACTATACACTACACTATACACTACACTATACACTAGTGCTGTACTAGTACACTACACTGTACACTACATTACACACTGGTGCTGTACTAGTATACTACACTATATACTACACTATACACTATGCAGCCTTCAGCTCGGGTTCGCCCCGGCGAACAGCCGAACTGTGCACGCCACCTTTCGCGCCCCCCGGATCGCACCGCGTGAATTTTTCATCTTTTGACTTCCCGGGTCGTTCAACGCGCGCGGCATTCTCATCGAGCTTGTCGCGACGTCGTGTACGACGTAGCGTACGTAAGGGGAAGGGGCCGGCCGGAATCTCTGTCTGCGTCTCTGGTGTCGGGAGGTAACCCCCCGCCCGCCCCCAACCTGTTTCCGCAGCATCTGCAGCTCGGCCGTGCTGGGGTCCCGGTTCACCACCGGCTTGTTCTTTATCTTGCGCGCGCGGTCAGCGTAACGCAACGTGTTCAGCGTCTCCTCCAGGTTGGAGTCGGCCGGGCTCACACAGGCCACCATGAGGGTGAGGCTGTTCCCTCCCAGAGAGTCTGGGGAGAGACAGGGATGGAGAGAGACGGAGAGACACACACACAGGCAGGTCACCATGAGGGTGACGCTGCTACCTCCCAGAGAGTCTGGAGAGAGACAGGGACGGAGAGAGACGGGGAGACACACGCAGGTCACCATGAGGGTGACGCTGCTATCTCCCAGAGTCTGGAGAGATAGAGACAGGGATGGAGAGAGACGGAGAGACACACACACGCAGGTCACCATGAGGGTGAGGCTGTTCCCTCCCAGAGAGTCTGGAGAGATACAGGGATGGAGAGAGATGGGGAGAGACACACACACAGGTCACCATGAGGGTGAGGCTGTTTCCCTCTCAGAAAGTCTGGAGAGATACAGGGATGGAGAGAGACGGGGAGAGACACACACACAGGTCACCATGAGGGTGAGGCTGTTCCCTCCCAGAGAGTCTGGAGAGAGACAGGGATGGAGAGAGACGGAGAGAGACACACGCAGGTCACCATGAGGGTGAGGCTGTTTCGCTCCCAGAGAGTCTGGAGAGAGAGCGAGAGACAGGGACGGAGAGAGACACACACACGCAGGTCACTATGAGGGCGGTAGAGAGACGGGGAGAGAAAGCTTGGGAAAGAGAGATTGAGAGAGACGTACGTGAGATGACTGACACGAGCGTGACACATGCATGGCACGAGCGTGACACGTGCGTGCATCTTGCGTGCATAGTGTGTGTGCATCTTGCGTGTGCATCTCCCTCCCTCGCGCATCTCCCTCCCTCCCTCGCGCATCTCCCTCCCTCCCTCATCTCCCTCCCTCGTGCATCTCCCTCCCTCCCTCATCTCCCTCCCTCGTGCATCTCCCTCCCTCCCTCGCGCATCTCCCTCCTTCGTGCATCTCCCTCCCTCGCGCATCTCCCTCCCTCGTGCATCTCCCTCCCTCCCTCGTGCATCTCCCTCCCTCGTGCATCTCCCTCCCTCCCTCGTGCATCTCCCTCCCTCCCTCCCTCGTGCATCTCCCTCCCTCGTGCATCTCCCTCCCTCGTGCATCTCCCTCCCTCCCTCGTGCATCTCCCTCCCTCGTGCATCTCCCTCCCTCGTGCATCTCCCTCCCTCCCTCGTGCATCTCCCTCCCTCGTGCATCTCCCTCCCTCGTGCATCTCCCTCCCTCGCGCATCTCCCTCCCTCGTGCATCTCCCTCCCTCCCTCGTGCATCTCCCTCCCTCGTGCATCTCCCTCCCTCCCTCATCTCCCTCCCTCCCTCGTGCATCTCCCTCCCTCGTGCATCTCCCTCCCTCGTGCATCTCCCTCCCTCCCTCCCTCGTGCATCTCCCTCCCTCCCTCCCTCCCGCGTGCATCCCGCGGTCACCCTGAAGCAGGCGCGTGAGCCGCGAGTCGCGGTAGGGCACGTGGTGGTGGTTGCGCCGCCCCGCGCCCTCCTCGCCCAGCGCGCTGATCACGTTGCCCAGCGCCAGCAGCCCACGGTTGATGGTGATGCCCTCGCGCAGGCGGTCGCCCTCCGCCTTGGTGCGCTTGGCGCGCTCCGAGCCGGCTAGGTCCACCAGGTGCAGCTTGCTGCGGCAGTGGCTCTCCCTGGGGGCGGCGGGGCGGGGTGGGGGGCACGGGGGGCACGGGGGGCACGGGGGGCACGGGGGGCACGGGGGGCACGGGGGGCACGGGGGACACGCGCAGGGACACCACGACCATCGTCGTTGTCGTCGTCGCTACTACTACAGCCACAGTCGTCGTCGTCGTCGTCGTCATCAGTACCACAACCATCATCATCACCACCACCACAGCCGTCATCATTATCATCATCATCATCACCACAACCATCATCATCACCACCACCACAGCCGTCATCATTATCATCATCATCATCATCACAACCATCATCATCACCACAACCATCGTCATCAGTACCACAACCATCATTATTATCACCACCACCACAGCCGTCATCATCATCATCATCACCACAACCATCATCATCATCACCACAACCATCATCATCACCACCACAACCATCATTATTATCACCACCACCACAGCCGTCATCATTATCATCATCACCACAACCATCATCATCACCACAACCATCATCATCACCACCACAACCATCATTATTATCACCACCACCACAGCCGTCATCATTATCATCATCATCATCACCACAACCATCATCATCACCACAACCATCATCATCACCACCACAACCATCATTATTATCACCACCACCACAGCCGTCATCATTATCATCATCATCATCACCACAACCATCATCATCATCACCACCACCACAACCATCATCATCATCACCACCACCACAACCATCATTATTATTACCACCACCACAACCATCATTATTATTACCACCACCACAACCATCATTATTATTACCACCACCACAACCATCATTATTATCATCATCATCACTACAACCATCATCACCAACACCACAACCATCATCAACACCACCACCACAACCATCACCACCACCATCACCACAACCACCACCACCACAACCATCACCACCACCACAATCATCACCACCACCACCACCACAATCATCACCACCATCAACACCACCACCACCACCATCACCACCACCACCACCACCATCACCACCATCACCATCACCACCATCACCACCACCACCACCATCACCACCACCATCACCATCACCACCACCATCATCATCATCACCATCATCACCACCACCACCATCACCATCACCACCACCACCACCATCATCACCACCACCATCAACACCACCACCATCAACACCATCACCCCCATCACCACCACCACCACCACCACCACCACCACAACCACCACCACCACCACCATCACCACCACCACCACCATCACCACCACCACCACCATCATCACCACCATCACCATCATCACCATCATCACCACCACCACTATCACCACCACCATCACCATCATCACCACCATCACCATCATCACCACCACCACTATCACCACCACCACCATCACCACCACCACCACCATCACCACCACCATCATCATCACCACCACCATCAACACCACCACCATCACCACCATCACCCCCATCACCCCCATCACCACCATCACCACCACCACCACCACAACCACCACAACCACCACCACCATCACCACCACCACCACCACAACCACCACCACCATCACCACCATCACCCCCACCACCATCACCACCACCACCATCACCACCACCGCCACCACCGCCACGCCAGCCCACCTGTCCTCCTTGCCGCGCTGCTCGATGGCGATGGTGAAGATGGCGTGCGAGCGGGAGGACTGAGCGTTCATGGCGGTGGCGCCAACGGTGCGTGCCAGGTTGCCCTGCTCCAAGCAGCGCACCATGTCCTCCACAGACGCCACCACTCGCTCCGTCAGGCCACAGATCTACCAGGGGGGGAAGGGAGAGGAAGGTGAGGAGAGGTGAGGTGAGGGGGTGAGGTGAGGGAGGAGAGGGAGGTGAGGAGGGAGGTGAGCGGGGGGATGAAGCGAGGGAGGAGGGAGGAAGAGAGGTGAGGGAGGAGAGGGAGGAAGAGAGGTGAGGAGGGAGGTGAGGAGGGAGGTGAGGAGGGGGTGAGGTGAGGGAGGAGGAGAGGTGAGGAGGGAGGTGAGGAGGGAGGTGAGGAGGGAGGTGAGGAGAGAGGTGAGGAGGGAGGTGAGGAGGGAGGTGAGGAGGGAGGTGAGGAGGGAGGTGAGGAGAGAGGTGAGGAGGGAGGTGAGGAGAGAGGTGAGGAGGGAGGTGAGGAGGGAGGTGAGGAGGGAGGTGAGGAGGGAGGTGAGGAGAGAGGTGAGGAGAGAGGTGAGGAGGGAGGTGAGGAGGGAGGTGAGGAGGGAGGTGAAGTGAGGGAGGAGGGAGGTGAGGAGGGAGGTGAGGAGGGAGGTGAGGAGGGAGGTGAGGAGGGAGGTGAGGAGGGAGGTGAGGAGAGAAGTGAGGAGGGAGGTGAGGAGGGAGGTGAGGAGGGAGGTGAGGAGGGGGTGAGGTGAGGGAGGAGAGGGAGGAAGAGAGGTGAGGTGAGGGGGGGGAGCGTAGGTGAGGGAGAGAGGAAAAAGAAGCGAGGGAGAGAATGATGAGAGAGGAGAGGTGAGCGGGGGGAGGTGAGGAGAAGGGTGAGATGGTGGGGAGAGAAAGGGAGGTGAGGAGAGAGGTGAGGAGGGAGGTGAGGAGGGAGGTGAGGTGGGATGTGAGGAGATGGCAGGGAGGAGAGAGAGAGGAGAGAAAGGGTGGAAGAGGGGTGCGAGGAGGAGGAAGTAGCTAAAGAGAGAGAGGGAGGGAGAGAGGAAGTAGCTAAGGAGAGAGAGAGAGGAAGTAGCTAAGGAGAGAGAGGGAGACAGGAAGTAGCTAAGGAGAGGGAGAGAGAGGGAGAGAGGAAGTAGCTAAGGAGAGAGAGAGGGAGACAGGAAGTAGCTAAGGAGAGAGAGGGATGGAGGGAGACAGGAAGTAGCTAAGGAGAGGGAGGGAGACAGGAAGTAGCTAAGGAGAGAGAGGGAGAGAGGAAGTAGCTAAGGAGAGAGAGGGAGAGAGGAAGTAGCTAAGGAGAGGGAGAGAGAGGGAGAGAGGAAGTAGCTAAGGAGAGAGAGGGATGGAGGGAGACAGGAAGTAGCTAAGGAGAGAGAGGGAGAGAGGAAGTAGCTAAGGAGAGAGAGGGAGAGAGGAAGTAGCTAAGGAGAGAGAGGGAGAGAGGAAGTAGCTAAGGAGAGGGAGAGAGAGGGAGAAAGTAGCTAAGGAGAGGGAGAGAGAGGGAGAGAAGAAGTAGCTAAGGAGAGAGAGTGATGGAGGGAGGGAGGAAGTAGCTAAGGAGAGAGAGAGAGAGGGAGAGAGGAAGTAGCTAAGGAGAGAGAGTGATGGAGGGAGGGAGGAAGTAGCTAAGGAGAGAGAGGGAGACAGGAAGTAGCTGAGAGAGAGGGAGAGAGGAAGTAGCTAAGGAGAGAGAGGGAGACAGGAAGTAGCTAAGGAGAGAGAGGGAGGGAAACAGGAAGTAGCTAAGGAGAGAGAGAGGGAGACAGGAAGTAGCTAAGGAGAGAGAGGGAGAGAGAGAGAGAGGCTTCCAGCTCGACGCAACGTTGTGCAGCGACGGAGACTCCCACGGAGCTGACGGCGCGTCGGCGAGCAGGGACGCGACCGACGGAGGCCGGCAAGCAGACGCCGCGACGGGCCACGTGGCACCGTCGCCCGTCCCCGCGATCGCAACGGCCATCGCCGCCGCCGCCGCCGCGGCCGTCTGGAACGCGCCTTCCTTCCGATATTGGCAAGCCGCTGGGAGCCACGCCACTTTTAAATCATCGTCGTCGTCGTCACCGTCACCGTCCAGATTGACAAACTAATCATTTCTTCAGAACTGCTCCTTGTTCGTGTTGTTGTGTTTGGTGTTGTTCTCATTCCGCAAACCGCACCTCCGTTCAGTACGGTGGGCTGCGCCCTGCGCAAAAGTTCAACCACACGCCCCCTTCATTATCTTCTTCGCAAGAAGAGCCACTCCCTGTTGTTTGGAAGTCTCCTGCCCCGAGTTAGAGGACTGTCCACCCCTCACGGGCGGCCCGAGCCAGAGCCGCTCCACGTAGTTTTACCCGGGCCCGCTCACCATCATGAAGGTCCTTAATGATCGTGAGCAGCGGGTCAGGGACTCCGAAAGCACGAAGAACAACCCAGAGCCCAGGCCTCCTGATGGTATCATCGGCCTTGACCAGGTTAATAAAGCAGAGATGTAGGTCTTGCGGGAATTCCCCACACCTCTGCTGTAGCAGACGGACAGCCCAAAGTAGCCTGGGGCTTGCAGCTTCCCACACCTCACCGCCACGCTCCCATGCCCCCTTCATTCTGTTGTTCAGAAGAAGAGCCACATCCTGTTGTTTGGCAGTGTCCTGCCCCGAGTTAGAGGACTGTCCACCACTCATGGTGAGAGGGGGTCAAATACTTATTTCCCTCGTTAAAATGCAAATCAATTTATAACATTTTTGCCATGCGTTTTTCTGGATTTTGTTGTTGTTATTCTGTCTCTCACCGTTCAAATAAACCTACCATTAAAATTATAGCCCGATCATTTCTTTGTCAGTGGGCAAACGTGCAAAATCAGCAGGGGATCAAATGCTTTTTTTCCCTCACTGTACGTACAAGACAAACAAAGACAAAGATCTCCCATATAGCCTGTAACAGACTCTAGGGGCAAGTGCTGTTTAAGCGATTACCAATGAAGGCCGGCACAGCAACACGAGGCGGTGGGTGGCCAGCACCGCACGTGCCCGGCCGCCTTTGTCTCCCCAGTGGCGATGTTCACGCACCGCTACACCAGGCACTCTCATTTGAGGCCGAGTCGACCTCGGGTAGGCCCGGCACCGGTTCAGATAATCCGTCATCACCGGGTGTCGGCCGTGAGCGGGAATCGATCCCGTGTCGCCGGGTTCGTAGCGCTAACCGCTACACCACCGCTCCACACGCTCACACGCGCACACACACACACAGACACACGTGTGGACCGAGTGGCCACCGATTTAAAACCGTGACAACGAGGAGACCGGGTCACCTTGATGCCCTCCTTGGGGTCCTCCCTGACGGACAGCGGGGGTCGATCCTTGCTCACGCACAGCAGGTCGATGATGTCCTCCCTGTAAATCTACACGACAACAACCACCAGATTTTGATTTAAAGCTTTCGTGACTGCAGCAATTCATATTCTTAGTTTTTTCGGTAAAGTCACGTTGAAGAGAAACAACAAAAAATATATATAAAACAATAAAAAATTCTCACGACGTTTCGACCATAACTCAAACGTTTGAGTTATGGTCGAAACGTCGTGATAATTTTTTTATTGTTTTATATATATTTTGTTATTTTGTTGTTTCTCTTCAACGTGACTTTACCGAAAAAACTAAGAATAACAACCACCAGCTTTAGGTTGGAAGCTTTCGTGACTGCAACACAAGGCTTCTGTCTTCAGGTGGAAGCAGTCACGGCAGAATCTCTGTGACCGTAGGGCTCCGAAACGTCGTGATTTAATTGGTCTATTTTATTTCACCTACGTGACTTTACCGAAAGGGAAAAAAAAAGTAACTACCACCAGCTTAACTCAACTGTATAACAACAACAACAACAGCTTAACACAACTGTATAACACAACAACAACAACAACCACCAGCTTAATACAACTGTATAACACAACAACAGCTTAACACAACTGAATAACACAACAACAGCTCAACACAACTGTATAACACAACAACAACAACAGCTTAACACAACTGTATAACACAACAACCACCAGCTTAACTCAACTGTATAACAACAACAGCTCAACACAACTGTATAACACAACAACAACAACAGCTTAACACAACTGTATAACACAACAACAGCTTAACTCAACTGTATAACAACAGCTCAACACAACTGTATAACACAACAACAATAGCTTAACACAACTGTATAAGACAACAACAACAACCACCAGCTTAACACAACTGTATAACACAACAACAACAGCTTATCACAACTGAATAACACAACAACAACAGCTTAACACAACTGTATAACACAACAACAGCTTAACACAACTGAATAACACAACAACAACAGCTTAACACAACTGAATAACACAACAACAACAGCTTAACACAACTGTATAACACAACAACAGCTTAACACAACTGAATAACACAACAACAACAGCTTAACACAACTGAATAACACAACAACAGCTTAACACAACTGTATAACACAACAACAACAGCTTAACACAACTGTATAACACAACAACAGCTCAACACAACTGAATAACACAACAACAGCTTAACACAACTGAATAACACAACAACAACAGCTTAACACAACTGAATAACACAACAACAGCTTAACACAACTGAATAACACAACAACAACAGCTTAACACAACTGAATAACACAACAACAGCTCAACACAACTGAATAACACAACAGCTTAACACAACTGAATAACACAACAGCTAAACACAACTGTATAACACAACAGCTTAACACAACTATATAACACAACAACAGCTAAACACAACAGCTAAACACAACAATAACACCTTAACACAACAACAGCTCAACACAACTGTATAACAAAACAACAACAGCTTAACACAAGGGTATAACACAACAACAACAGCTCAACACAACTGTATAACACAACAGCTCAACACAATCGTATAACACAACAACAACAGCTTAACACAACAACAAGACATTAACGGGAACAAAACGTTTAACACAACAAACTGTTTAACATACCAACAGTTTCACAACAACAGTTTAACACAACTGTATAACACAAAAACAAAGAGTTTAACACAACAACAGTCTAACATAATAAGCAGGCTGCAGGGGCAAGTGTTGTTAGTAGCGAGTAGCAGCAGCAGTGCCTATGAGGGTAGACACAGACAAAGCTCCCCCGTGTAGCCTCTAGCAGGCTGCAGGGGCAAGTGCTGTTAGTAGCGAGTAGCAGCAGCAGTGTCTATGAAGGTAGACACAGACAAAGGTCCCCCGTGTAGCCTCTAGCAGGCTGCAGGGGCAAGTGCTGTTAGTAGCGAGTAGCAGCAGCAGCACCTATGAAGGTAGACACAGACAAAGCTCCCCCGTGTAGCCTCTAACAAGCTGTAGGGGCAAGTGCTGTTAGTAGCGAGTAGCAGCAGCAGTGCCTATGAGGGTAGACACAGACAAAGCTCCCCCGTGTAGCCTCTAGCAGGCTGCAGGGGCAAGTGCTGCCAGTAGCGAGTAGCAGCAGCGCCTATGAAGGTAGACACAGACAAAGATCCCCCGTGTAGCCTCTAGCAGGCTGCAGGGGCAAGTGCTGTTAGTAGCGAGTAGCAGCAGCAGTGCCTGTGAAGGCTGCCACAGACAAAGCTCCCCCGTGTAGCCTCCAGCAGGCTGCAGGGGCAAGTGCTGTTAGTAGTGAGTAGCAGCAGCAGTGCCTATGAAGGCTGCCACAGACAAAGCTCCCCAGTGTAGCCTCTAGCAGGCTGCAGGGGCAAGTGCTGTTAGTAGCGAGTAGCAGCAGCAGTGTCTATGAAGGTAGACACAAACAAAGCTCCCCCGTGTAGCCTCTAGCAGGCTGCAGGGGCAAGTGCTCTTAGTAGCGAGTAGCAGCAGCAGCATCTATGAAGGTAGACACAGACAAAGGCCCCCCGTGTAGCCTCTAGCAGGCTGCAGGGGCAAGTGCTGTCAGTAGCGAGTAGCAGCAGCAGCGGCTATGAAGGTAGACACAGACAAAGGTCCCCCGTGTAGCCTCTAGCAGGCTGCAGGGGCAAGTGCTGTCAGTAGCGAGTAGCAGCAGCAGCGGCTATGAAGGTAGACACAGACAAAGGTCCCCCGTGTAGCCTCTAGCAGGCTGCAGGGGCAAGTGCTGTTAGTAGCGAGTAGCAGCGTCTATGAAGGTAGACACAGACAAAGGTCCCCCGTGTAGCCTCTAGCAGGCTGCAGGGGCAAGTGCTGTTAGTAGCGAGTAGCAGCAGCAGCGCCTATGAAGGTAGACACAGACAAAGCTCCCCCGCGTAGCCTCTAGCAGGCTGTAGGGGCAAGTGCTGTCAGTAGCGAGTAGCAGCAGCAGCAGCGTCTATGAAGGTAGACACAGACAAAGGTCCCCCGTGTAGCCTATAGCAGGCTGCAGGGGCAAGTGCTGCTAGTAGCGAGTAGCAGCAGCAGCAGCCCCTATGAAGGTAGACACAAAGCTCCCCCGTGTAGCCTCTAGCAGGCTGCAGGGGCAAGTGCTGCCAGTAGCGAGTAGCAGCAGCAGCAGCGTCTATGAAGGTAGACACAGACAAAGGTCCCCCGTGTAGCCTCTAGCAGGCTGCAGGGGCAAGTGCTGTCAGTAGCGAGTAGCAGCAGCAGCATCTATGAAGGTAGACACAGACAAAGGTCCCCCGTGTAGCCTCTAGCAGGCTGTAGGGGCAAGTGCTGTTAGCAGCAGCAGCAGCAGCGTCTATGAAGGTAGACACAGACAAAGGTCCCCCGTGTAGCCTCTAGCAGGCTGCAGGGGCAAGTGCTGTTAGTAACGAGTAGCAGCAGCAGCGCCTATGAAGGTAGACACAGACAAAGCTCCCCCGTGTAGCCTGTAGCAGGCTGCAGGGGCAAGTGCTCTTAGTAGCGAGTAGCAGCAGCAGCATCTATGAAGGTAGACACAGACAAAGGCCCCCCGTGTAGCCTCTAGCAGGCTGCAGGGGCAAGTGCTGTCAGTAGCGAGTAGCAGCAGCAGCGGCTATGAAGGTAGACACAGACAAAGGTCCCCCGTGTAGCCTCTAGCAGGCTGCAGGGGCAAGTGCTGTCAGTAGCGAGTAGCAGCAGCAGCGGCTATGAAGGTAGACACAGACAAAGGTCCCCCGTGTAGCCTCTAGCAGGCTGCAGGGGCAAGTGCTGTTAGTAGCGAGTAGCAGCAGCAGCGTCTATGAAGGTAGACACAGACAAAGGTCCCCCGTGTAGCCTCTAGCAGGCTGCAGGGGCAAGTGCTGTTAGTAGCGAGTAGCAGCAGCAGCGCCTATGAAGGTAGACACAGACAAAGCTCCCCCGCGTAGCCTCTAGCAGGCTGTAGGGGCAAGTGCTGTCAGTAGCGAGTAGCAGCAGCAGCGTCTATGAAGGTAGACACAGACAAAGGTCCCCCGTGTAGCCTATAGCAGGCTGCAGGGGCAAGTGCTGCTAGTAGCGAGTAGCAGCAGCAGCAGCCCCTATGAAGGTAGACACAAAGGTCCCCCGTGTAGCCTATAGCAGGCTGCAGGGGCAAGTGCTGCTAGTAGCGAGTAGCAGCAGCAGCAGCCCCTATGAAGGTAGACACAAAGCTCCCCCGTGTAGCCTCTAGCAGGCTGCAGGGGCAAGTGCTGCCAGTAGCGAGTAGCAGCAGCAGCATCTATGAAGGTAGACACAGACAAAGGTCCCCCGTGTAGCCTCTAGCAGGCTGCAGGGGCAAGTGCTGTCAGTAGCGAGTAGCAGCAGCAGCATCTATGAAGGTAGACACAGACAAAGGTCCCCCGCGTAGCCTCTAGCAGGCTGCAGGGGCAAGTGCTGTTAGTAGCAGCAGCGCCTATGAAGGTAGCCACAGACAAAGCTCCCCCGTGTAGCCTCTAGCAGGCTGCAGGGGCAAGTGCTGTTAGTAGCGAGTAGTAGCAGCAGCGTCTATGAAGGTAGACACAGACAAAGCTCCCCCGTGTAGCCTCTAGCAGGCTGTAGGGGGCAAGTGCTGTTAGTAGCAGCAGCAGCGTCTATGAAGGTAGACACAGACAAAGCTCCCCCGTGTAGCCTCTAGCAGGCTGCAGGGGCAAGTGCTGTTAGTAGCAGCAGCAGTGCCTATGAAGGTAGACACAGACAAAGGCCCCCCCTGTAGCCTCTAGCAGGCTGCAGGGGCAAGTGCTGCCAGTAGCGAGTAGCAGCAGCGTCTATGAAGGTAGACACAGACAAAGGTCCCCCGTGTAGCCTCTATCAGGCTGCAGGGGCAAGTGCTCTTAGTAGCGAGTAGCAGCAGCAGCGTCTATGAAGGTAGACACAGACAAAGCTCCCCCGTGTAGCCTCTAGCAGGCTGCAGGGGCAAGTGCTGCCAGTAGCGAGTAGCAGCAGCAGCGTCTATGAAGGTAGACACAGACAAAGCTCCCCCGTGTAGCCTCTAGCAGGCTGTAGGGGGCAAGTGCTGTTAGTAGCAGCAGCAGCGTCTATGAAGGTAGACACAGACAAAGCTCCCCCGTGTAGCCTCTAGCAGGCTGCAGGGGCAAGTGCTGTTAGTAGCAGCAGCAGTGCCTATGAAGGTAGCCACAGACAAAGGCCCCCCCTGTAGCCTCTAGCAGGCTGCAGGGGCAAGTGCTGCCAGTAGCGAGTAGTAGCAGCAGCAGCGCCTATGAAAGTATACACAGACAAAGGCCCCCCGTGTAGCCTCTAGCAGGCTGAAGGGGCAAGTGCTCTTAGTAGCGAGTAGCAGCAGCAGTGCCTATGAAGGCTGCCACAGACAAAGGTCCCCCGTGTAGCCTCTAGCAGGCTGTAGGGGCAAGTGCTGCCAGTAGCGAGTAGCAGCAGCAGCGCCTATGAAGGTAGCCACAGACAAAGGCCCCCCGTGTAGCCTCTAGCAGGCTGCAGGGGCAAGTGCTGTTAGTAGCGAGTAGCAGCAGCAGCGTCTATGAAGGTAGACACAGACAAAGCTCCCCCGTGTAGCCTATAGCAGGCTGTAGGGGGCAAGTGCTGTTAGTAGCAGCAGCAGCGTCTATGAAGGTAGACACAGACAAAGCTCCCCCGTGTAGCCTCTAGCAGGCTGTAGGGGGCAAGTGCTCTTAGTAGCGAGTAGCAGCAGCAGCGCCTATGAAGGTAGCCACAGACAAAGGCCCCCCGTGTAGCCTCTAGCAGGCTGCAGGGGCAAGTGCTGTTAGTAGCGAGTAGCAGCAGCAGCAGCGTCTATGAAGGTAGACACAGACAAAGCTCCCCCGTGTAGCCTCTAGCAGGCTGTAGGGGGCAAGTGCTGTTAGTAGCGAGTAGCAGCAGCAGCAGCGTCTATGAAGGTAGACACAGACAAAGCTCCCCCGTGTAGCCTCTAGCAGGCTGCAGGGGCAAGTGCTGTTAGTAGCGAGTAGTAGCAGCAGCGTCTATGAAGGTAGACACAGACAAAGTTCCCCCGTGTAGCCTCTAGCAGGCTGCAGGGGCAAGTGCTGTTAGTAGCGAGTAGCAGCAGCAGCAGCGTCTATGAAGGTAGACACAGACAAAGCTCCCCCGTGTAGCCTCTAGCAGGCTGCAGGGGCAAGTGCTGTTAGTAGCAGCAGCAGCGTCTATGAAGGTAGACACAGACAAAGGCCCCCCCTGTAGCCTCTAGCAGGCTGCAGGGGCAAGTGCTGCCAGTAGCGAGTAGTAGCAGCAGCAGCGCCTATGAAAGTATACACAGACAAAGGCCCCCCGTGTAGCCTCTAGCAGGCTGAAGGGGCAAGTGCTCTTAGTAGCGAGTAGCAGCAGCAGTGCCTATGAAGGCTGCCACAGACAAAGGTCCCCCGTGTAGCCTCTAGCAGGCTGTAGGGGGCAAGTGCTGTTAGTAGCAGCAGCAGCGTCTATGAAGGTAGACACAGACAAAGCTCCCCCGTGTAGCCTCTAGCAGGCTGTAGGGGCAAGTGCTGTTAGTAGCAGCAGCAGTGCCTATGAAGGTAGACACAGACAAAGGCCCCCCCTGTAGCCTCTAGCAGGCTGCAGGGGCAAGTGCTGTTAGTAGCGAGTAGCAGCAGCAGCGTCTATGAAGGTAGACACAGACAAAGGCCCCCACGTGACCTCCTGCCGAGCGGCGGCGACATCACCGCGGCTGCCGCGGTGATGTCGCCGCCGCTCGGCGCCGAATGGCGGTTGCCGTTTGCTGTCGCGGGCGCACGTGCCGTGGCCTGACGTGGCCTGGCGTGAGCGGCGCACCTCCAGGTACGAGACGGAGATGGAGAACTCCACGGCTCCGCGCGACTGCACGCCCCGAAAGAGGGCGTGCACCGCCCGCGGGATGACGCCGGCGGCGTGCGGCTCCGCGTCCACGTTGTACGCGCCGCCCATGGTGAACGTCTTGCCCGAGCCCGTCTGGCCGTACGCAAGCACCGTCGCGTTGTAGCCTGAGAGGCGGAGAGGGGGGAGACGGGGGGTGGGGGGAGTGAATGGATTGTGAGGGAGAGGGGGGAGTGAATGGATGGTGAAGGAGTGAATGGATTGTGAGGGAGAGGGGGGAGTGAATGGATGGTGAAGGAGTGAATGGATTGTGAGGGAGAGGGGGGGGAGTGAATGGATGGTGAGAGGAGAGAGGGGGAGTGAATGGATGGTGAGGGAGTGAATGGATGGTGAGGGGAGAGAGGGAGTGAATGGATGGTGTGGGAGTGAATGGATGGTGAGGGGAGAGAGGGGGAGTGAATGGATGGTGAGAGAGAGGGGGGAGTGAATGGATGGTGAGGGAGTGAATGGATGATGAGGGAGAGGGGGGAGTGAATGTATGGTGAGGGGAGAGAGAGGGGGGTGTGAATGGATGGTGTGGGAGTGAATGGATGGTGAGGGGAGAGGGGGGAGTGAATGGACAGTGAGGGAGAGAGAGAGGGAGTGAATGGATGGTGAGGGGAGAGAGGGGAGTGAATGGATGGTGAGGGAGTGAATGGATGGTGAGGGAGAGAGGGGGAGTGAATGGATGGTGAGGGAGAGGGGGGAGTGAATGGATGGTGAGGGAGTGAATGGATGGTGAGGAGAGAGAGGGAGAGAATGGATGGTGTGGGAGTGAATGGATGGTGAGGGAGAGAGGGGGAGTGAATGGATGGTGAGGGAGAGGGGGGGAGTGAATGGATGGTGAGGGAGAGAGGGGCAGTGAATGGATGGTGAGGGAGAGAGAGGGAGTGAATGGATGGTGAGGGAGAGAGGGGGAGTGAATGGATGGTGAGGGAGAGAGGGGGAGTGAATGGATGGTGAGGGAGAGAGGGGGAGTGAATGGATGGTGAGGGAGAGAGGGGGAGTGAATGGATGGTGAGGGAGAGAGGGGGGAGTGAATGGATGGTGAGGGAGAGGGGGGGAGTGAATGGATGGTGTGGGAGTGAATGGATCGTGTGGGAGAGGGGGGAGTGAATGGATAGTGAGGGGAGAGAGGGGGGAGTGAATGGATGGTGAGGGGAGAGAGGGGAGTGAATGGATGGTGTGGGAGTGAATGGATGGTGAGGGAGAGAGGGGGAGTGAATGGATGGTGAGGGAGAGAGGGGAGTGAATGGATGGTGTGGGAGTGAATGGATTGTGAGGGAGAGGGGGGGAGTGAATGGATGGTGTGGGAGAGAGGGGAGTGAATGGATGGTGTGGGAGTGAATGGATGGTGAGGGAGAGGGGGGGAGTGAATGGATGGTGAGGGAGAGAGGGGGAGTGAATGGATGGTGAGGGGAGAGAGGGGAGTGAATGGATGGTGAGGGAGTGAATGGATGGTGAGGGAGAGAGGGGGAGTGAATGGATGGTGAGGGAGAGAGGGGAGTGAATGGATGGTGTGGGAGTGAATGGATGGTGAGGAAGAGAGGGGGAGTGAATGGATGGTGAGGGGAGAGAGGGAGTGAATGGATGGTGAGGGAGTGAGGGGGAGTGAATGGATGGTGAGGGAGAGAGGGGGAGTGAATGGATGGTGAGGGAGAGAGGGGGAGTGAATGGATGGTGTGGGAGTGAATGGATGGTGAGGGGAGAGAGGGGGAGTGAATGGATGGTGAGGGAGTGAATGAATGGTGAGGGGAGAGAGGGGGAGTGAATGGATGGTGAGAGAGAGGGGGGAGTGAATGGATGGTGAGGGAGTGAATGGATGATGAGGGAGAGGGGGGAGTGAATGTATGGTGAGGGGATCTCTCCTCTCTCGAGGGGGGTGTGAATGGATGGTGTGGGAGTGAATGGATGGTGAGGGGAGAGGGGGGAGTGAATGGACAGTGAGGGAGAGAGAGGGAGTGAATGGATGGTGAGGGGAGAGAGGGGAGTGAATGGATGGTGAGGGAGTGAATGGATGGTGAGGGAGAGAGGGGGAGTGAATGGATGGTGAGGGAGAGGGGGGAGTGAATGGATGGTGAGGGAGTGAATGGATGGTGAGGAGAGAGAGGGAGAGAATGGATGGTGTGGGAGTGAATGGATGGTGAGGGAGAGAGGGGGAGTGAATGGATGGTGAGGGAGAGGGGGGGAGTGAATGGTGAGGGAGAGAGAGGGAGTGAATGGATGGTGAGGGGAGAGAGGGGAGTGAATGGATGGTGAGGGAGTGAATGGATTGCGAGGGAGAGAGGGGGAGTGAATGGATGGTGAGGGGAGAGAGGGGGAGTGAATGGATGGTGAGGGGAGAGAGGGGGAGTGAATGGATGGTGAGGGGAGAGAGGGGGAGTGAATGGATGGTGAGGGAGAGAGGGAAAGTGAATGGATGGTGTGGGAGAGAGGGGAGTGAATGGATGGTGTGGGAGTGAATGGATGGTGAGGGAGAGAGGGGGAGTGAATGGATGGTGAGGGGGAGAGGAGGGGAGTGAATGGATGGTGAAGGAGTGAATGGATTGTGAGGGAGAGGGGGGGGAGTGAATGGATGGTGAAGGAGATGAATGGATTGTGAAGGGAGAGGGGGGGAGTGAATGGATGGTGAGGGAGAGAGGGGGAGTGAATGGATGGTGAGGGAGAGAGGGGGAGTGAATGGATGGTGAGGGAGAGAGGGGGAGTGAATGGATGGTGAGGGAGAGGGGGAGTGAATGGATGGTGTGGGAGTGAATGGATGGTGAGGGGAGAGAGGGGAGTGAATGGATGGTGTGGGAGTGAATGGATGGTGAGGGAGAGGGGGGGAGTGAAGGATGGTGAGGGGAGATGAGGGGGAGTGAATGGATGGGTGAGGGGAGAGAGGGGGAGTGAATGGATGGTGTGGGAGTGAATGGATGGTGAGGGAGAGAGGGGGAGTGAATGGGATGGTGGAGGGAGAGAGGGGGAGTGAATGGATGGTGAGGGAGTGAATGGATGGTGAGGGAGAGAGGGGGAGTGAATGGATGGTGAGGGGAGAGAGGGGAGTGAATGGATGGTGAGGGGAGAGAGGGGGAGTGAATGGATGGTGAGGGAGTGAATGGATGGTGAGGGAGAGAGGGGGAGTGAATGGATGGTGAGGGGAGAGAGGGGGAGTGAATGGATGGTGAGGGGAGAGGGGGGGAGTGAATGGATGGTGAGGGAGAGGAGGGAGTGAATGGATGGTGAGGGAGAGAGGGGGAGTGAATGGATGATGAGGGGAGAGAGGGGGAGTGAATGGATGGTGAGGGGAGAGAGGGGGAGTGAATGGATGGTGAGGGGGAGAGAGGGGGAGTGAATGGATGGTGAGGGGAGAGAGGGGGAGTGAATGGATGGTGAGGGGAGAGAGGGGGAGTGAATGGATGGTGAGGGAGAGAGGGAAAGTGAATGGATGGTGTGGGAGAGAGGGGAGTGAATGGATGGTGTGGGAGTGAATGGATGGTGAGGGAGAGAGGGGGAGTGAATGGATGGTGAGGGGAGAGAGGGGAGTGAATGGATGGTGAAGGAGTGAATGGATTGTGAGGGAGAGGGGGGGACGTGATGGATGGTGAGGAGTGAATGGATTGTGAGGGAGAGGGGGGGAGTGAATGGATGGTGAGGGAGAGAGGGGGAGTGAATGGATGGTGAGGGAGAGAGGGGGGAGTGAATGGATGGTGAGGGAGAGAGGGGGAGTGAATGGATGGTGAGGGAGAGGGGGGCGTGAATGGATGGTGTGGGAGTGAATGGATGGTGAGGGGAGAGAGGGGAGTGAATGGATGGTGTGGGAGTGAATGGATGGTGAGGGAGAGGGGGGGAGTGAATGGATGGTGAGGGAGAGGGGGAAGTGAATGGATGGTGAGGGGAGAGAGGGGGAGTGAATGGATGGTGTGGGAGTGAATGGATGGTGAGGGAGAGAGGGGGAGTGAATGGATGGTGAGGGAGAGAGGGGGAGTGAATGGATGGTGAGGGAGTGAATGGATGGTGAGGGAGAGAGGGGGAGTGAATGGATGGTGAGGGGAGAGAGGGGAGTGAATGGATGGTGAGGGGAGAGAGGGGGAGTGAATGGATGGTGAGGGAGTGAATGGATGGTGAGGGAGAGAGGGGGAGTGAATGGATGGTGAGGGGAGAGAGGGGGAGTGAATGGATGGTGAGGGGAGAGGGGGGGAGTGAATGGATGGTGAGGGAGAGGAGGGAGTGAATGGATGGTGAGGGAGAGGGGGGGAGTGAATGGATGATGAGGGGAGAGAGGGGGAGTGAATGGATGGTGAGGGGAGAGAGGGGGAGTGAATGGATGGTGAGGGGAGAGAGGGGGAGTGAATGGATGGTGTGGGAGTGAATGGATGGTGAGGGAGAGAGGGGGAGTGAATGGATGGTGAGGGAGTGAATGGATGGTGAGGGGAGAGAGGGAGTGAATGGATGGTGAGGGAGAGAGGGGGAGTGAATGGATGGTGAGGGAGAGAGGGGGAGTGAATGGATGGTGAGGGGAGAGAGGGAGTGAATGGATGGTGAGGGAGAGAGGGGGAGTGAATGGATGGTGAGGGGAGAGAGGGGAGTGAATGGATGGTGTGGGAGTGAATGGATGGTGAGGGAGAGAGGGGGAGTGAATGGATGGTGAGAGGGGGGAGTGAATGGATGGTGAGAGAGGGGGAGTGAATGGATGGTGAGGGAGAGAGGGGGAGTGAATGGATGGTGAGGGGAGAGAGGGGAGTGAATGGATGGTGTGGGAGTGAATGGATGGTGAGGGAGAGAGGGGGAGTGAATGGATGGTGAGAGGGGGGAGTGAATGGATGGTGAGAGAGGGGGGAGTGAATGGATGTTGAGGGAGAGGGGGGAGTGAATGGATGGTGAGGGAGAGGGGGGGAGTGAATGGTTGGAGAGGGGGGAGTGAATGTTGTGAGCGTAGCTCCTCCGCCCTTGCTGGAGGGCAACTGCCCCGCAGCCTCAAGGTGTACCTAGCCTGGCACTGCCTGGTAACGTCCTTCACGCACCTCTCCCTCTAGAGGCCAATCATGAAACTGCTGGTATATCGGTCTTCATCAAGTTCACTCAGCTCCACTTCCTCCTGTACCGCATCAGCTCCATCTCTTCTCTAGCCCATGTCACTCACCCATCCATCAGCCCATCTCTTCTTGAGCCCGTACCACCCACCCACCCATCAGCCCATCTCTTCTCGAGCCCGTACCACTCACCCAATCACTCACCCATCAGCCCATCTCTTCTCGAGCCCGTACCACTCACCCACCCATCAGCCCATCTCTTCTCGAGCCCGTACCACTCACCCAATCACCCACCCATCAGCCCATCTCTTCTCGAGCCTGTACCACTCACCCACCCACACAGCCCATCTCTTCTCGAGCCCGTACCACTCGCCCAATCACTCACCGAATCTTTACTTGAGCCCTTACCACTCACTCACTCACTCACCCACCCACCCACCCAATCTCAGAACCATCCTCTTTGGTTCTTTCGGTAGAAGTCACAGAAGTTAGAAATTAAAATAAAATTAAAATAAAATCACAACGTCTCGATTGCAACACAAGCAATCATCATCGGGTGGGAAAGCCACCGTAAGATTGTTTTTCTTTTTCAGCTCAAGTGCAGCGACGACTTCGCCCCTTCCAGCCGGCCAAGCTACTCCGCACTCGCTCCACAAAGACCCCCCTCCTGCATAACCTCGGCAGACTGCCGGGGCAAGTGCTGCCACGGCGAGTAGCACCCACAAAGGCCGGCGCAGACGCACACGAAGGGGGTGGGCGGCCTGCCAGCACCACGCCCGCCCGCCCGCCCTCGTCTCAGCCCCAGCGGCGACGTTCACCACGACACGACGCCGCTACTGGAGCAGCCGCTCACGCGAGCCCGAGTCGACCCGGCGGGAGGGGCCCGGGGGGGGACCCGTTCGGACGGTCGCCATCGAGCGTGGCTCCCCGCCCGCCCGCTCGCCCGCCCGCCCGCCCGCCCGCCCGCCCGCCCGCCCGCCCGCTCGCACGCCCCCTTCCTCACCATTGAAAATTCCATCGATGAGCGGGGACACGGCGCTGCCGAACACCTCCTCCTGCTCGGTCGCCGGGTCGAACACGAAATCGAACGTGAAGGCCTTCTCCCCGCTCAGCACAATCTGCGGCCCCCACACGCAGATCCCACACACGCCACACACCCCCACGCAGCCTTAACGTCTTTACGATTTAGAGCCTTCCGTGCCTGCAAGGATTCATCATCTTCTTTGGCTCTTTCGGTAAAGTCACCACCACGTAGAGTGAGAAATAAAAAAATATAATAAATTGATAAAAATAACACGATAGAATTCTCACGGCGTTTCGGCCACAACACGAGCGGCCTTCATCATGCGCTGTGGCCGAAACGTCGTGAGAATTCTATCGTGTTATTCTATCAATTTATTATTTTATTCTCATTCTACGTGGTGGTGACTTTACCGAAAGCACCGAGGAAGGCAGATGCATCTCCTGTGGTTCTTTCGGTAAGGTCACGTGGACTTTTCTACGCGACTCTACCGAAAAGAGCCAAAGAAGATGAATCCTTGCAGTCACGAAAAGCTTGAAATCGAAAGGTAGATACAGACAAAGGTCCCCCCCGTGTAGCCTCCAACGTGGCCGTCAGCGAGGAGTGGCGGCAGCGGCTGGGTGGCCAGCACCACGCACGCCCGGCCGCCTTTGTCTCCCCGGCGGCGATGTCTACTACACATCGCACCGGGTGCTCGTTTGGAGGCCGAGACGACCTAGGGGGGAGGCCCAGGCAAAGGTTCCCATTATCGTCATCGGTGTTGGTGGCCGCGAGCGGTAATCAAACTCGGGTCACCGGGTTCGGAGCGCGTGGCGCTAACCCCGTAGCGCGACCCGCTCCGGTTCCGACGATCGCCACCGCTCCCCACTCACACGCCCCTATTCTGCACTCGAATCGTGTTTTTATTACACGCTTTCTATAAACTCGCTCTCGTCTGGTCTGGTCTGGTCTGTCTGTCTGTCGTTGTCTGTCGTCCCATCCTCAAAGTCTTGTAACTCAATATTAACCCCACTTCCCAACGTCGTATCGAGCGTAAACTTTGTATAGTTGCGTCATGCCGATGGCAATTGCTATTTGTCTGTCTCGGGTGTGGACCAATCAAATTCAAGGACACTGCATATTATTATTATTATCAGAGTTGTCTCTTTTTGTTTGCATTTTGACTGCTTGTGGTGCGGTTATTGCAGACATGATGCACTTGAATAAAGGTGTCAGTTTTTTTTTTGTGCCAGTTAAAAGGGGAAAAACCTATTACAATGACAATTACTATATTCTACCGTTAAAAATAACGTAAAACATATTTTGAAATAATCTTTTTTTTTTAACGTATGCTATGTTTCGGCTAGGGTCCAAATCGTCCACGCTCAACTGACGTTGGCTGCAAATCGTCACGGTCCCCCTTACGTTATGGAAAGCCTTCGGGGGGCCACTTCCTGGAGTTTTTCCATTACTTGCAGGGTACATTTCATTAAAGCGTGTTTTAAAAAAAAAAAGCGTTATTAAATATTACTTATTGTGTGTACTATATATATACTCTTTGGTTCTATTCGGTAAAGTCACGTAGGTGAAAAGATTCAAGCAACAAAAATGACGACGTTTCGGCCACCATTAAACGTCGTGATTTTTGTTGCTTAAATTGTTTACCAACGTGACTTTACCGAACGGAACCGAGGAGTATGGGTCCTTGCAGTCACGAAAGCTTCAAATCGAGAATTGTTGGTGCACCGTTTGCCGTTGTAACTTGCGGACCCGCCAATGCTGGGCCGCCTGTGAAAAAGGGCTTCATAAAGCCCGTCGGATTCCTCCGGCAGCCTAAATCGATATTCAGATCCTGACCAACGCCAACAGCAGTTCATTCGCCACTAAGCAATGGTGCCGTCAAACCAAGGCGCCTGTGCCAGGTGGACTTTGAGGCTATCACGTGGAGTGTCGAAGGCGGCTCCCTGCTGACAGGGAGTCGTGGGACAGACCCAGCAGGTGGCACGGGTTGGCCGACCGAGATGAGCGGCTAGATGCACCACCAGCTGTACCCTCCCCGACTGTGCCAACGCGCTGCGTTTTAGCCACCCGGCGTTCCGCTCGGTGTTGTTGTTGTGAGCGTCGCTCCTCCGCCCTCAGTTGTCGCTGGAGGGCGACTGCCTCCAACTGCCCGAGTAGCCTCAAGGTGCACCTAGCCTGGCACTGGCCCCAGTAGCCTCAAGGTGCACCTAGCCTGGCCCCGAGTAGCCTCAAGGTGCACCTAGCCTGGCCCCAGTAGCCTCAAGGTGCACCTAGCCTGGCACTGGCCCCAGTAGCCTCTCTCTACCCTCCTCTCTCTCTACCCCCCTCTCTCTCTACCCTCCTCTCTCTCTACCCCCTCTCTCTCTACCCTCCTCTCTCTCTACCCCCCTCTCTCTCTCTACCCCCTCTCTCTCTACCCCCTCTCTCTCTACCCCCTCTCTCTCTACCCCCTCTCTCTCTACCCCCTCTCTCTCTACCCCTCTCTCTCTACCCCCTCTCTCTCTCTACCCCCTCTCTCTCTCTACCCCCCTCTCTCTCTACCCCCCTCTCTCTCTACCCTCCCTCTCTCTCTACCCTCCCTCTCCCCCCCCCCCCTCTCTCTCTACCCCCCTCTCTCTCTACCCCCTATCTCTCTCTACCCCCTCTCTCTCTACCCCCCTCTCTCTCTACCCCCCCTCTCTCTCTACCCCCTCTCTCTCTACCCCCCTCTCTCTCTACCCCCCTCTCTCTCTACCCCTCTCTCTCTACCCCCCTCTCTCTCTACCCCCTCTCTCTCTACCCCCCTCTCTCTCTACCCTCCTCTCCACCCCCCCTCTCTCTCTACCCCCCCTCTCTCTCTACCCCCTATCTCTCTCTACCCCCCTCTCTCTCTACCCCCATCTCTCTCTACCCCCTCTCTCTCTACCCCCCTCTCTCTCTACCCCCTCTCTCTCTACCCCCCTCTCTCTTCTACCCCCCTCTCTCTCTACCCCCTCTCTCTCTACCCCCCCTCTCTCTCTACCCCCTCTCTCTCTACCCTCCTCTCTCTCTACCCTCCTCTCTCTCTACCCTCCTCTCTCTCTACCCTCCTCTCTCTCTACCCCTCTCTCTCTACCCCCTCTCTCTCTACCCCCCCTCTCTCTCTACCCCCCTCTCTCTCTACCCCCTCTCTCTCTACCCCCCTCTCTCTCTACCCCCTCTCTCTCTACCCTCCTCTCTCTCTACCCTCCTCTCTCTCTACCCTCCTCTCTCTCTACCCTCCTCTCTCTCTACCCCTCTCTCTCTACCCCCTCTCTCTCTACCCCCCTCTCTCTCTACCCCCCTCTCTCTCTACCCCCTCTCTGCCCCTCCTCTCTCTCTACCCTCCTCTCTACCCCCTCTCTCTCTACCCCCTCTCTGCCCCTCCTCTCTCTCTACCCTCCTCTCCGCCCCCCCCTCTCTCTCTACCCTCCTCTCCGCCCCCCCCCCCTCTCTCTCTACCCCCTCTCCGCCCCCGCCCCCCCCCCCTCTCTCTCTGCCCCCTCTCTTCCTGCTCCCTCCGTCTCTCTCACCTGTGGCTCGCCAGGCACGAAGGTGACGCAGGGCACGCAGCCTTCGTCAGACTCCCACTGGACCATGGGGCGGCACCTCACCGCCACGCGCACCGGGATCACCTTCTCCTCCTCTTTTGACATCGCCGCCGCCACTCCTCCTCCTCGTCGTCCACCTCGTCCGCAGCCTGCTGCGGACGAGGGACGTGGTGACGGTCAAACCCGAGCGGTCAGAGAGAGAGACATCGTCTCTCTCTCTGACCTCCACCACCCGTCCCACCCCCGTGTAGCCTCTAACAAGTGCTGTTAGTAGTAGCGAGTAGCAGCAGCAGCAGCGTCTATGGAGGTAGGCACAGACAAAGGTCCCCCGTGTAGCCTCTAGAAGGCTGTAGGGGCAAGTGCTGTTAGTAGCGAGTATCAGCAGCAGCGTCTATGAAGGTAGACACAGACAAAGGTCCCCCGTGTAGCCTCTAGCAGGCTGTAGGGGCAAGTGCTGTTAGTAGTAGCGAGTAGCAGCAGCAGCGCCTATGAAGGTAGACACAGACAAAGGTCCCCCGTGTAGCCTCTAGAAGGCTGTAGGGGCAAGTGCTGTTAGTAGCGAGTATCAGCAGCAGCGTCTATGAAGGTAGACACAGACAAAGGTCCCCCGTGTAGCCTCTAGCAGGCTGTAGGGGCAAGTGCTGTTAGTAGTAGCGAGTAGCAGCAGCAGTGTCTATGAAGGTAGACACAGACAAAGGTCCCCCGTGTAGCCTCTAGCAGGCTGTAGGGGCAAGTGCTGTTAGTAGCGAGTAGCAGCAGCAGCGTCTATGAAGGTAGACACAGACAAAGGTCCCCCGTGTAGCCTCTAGAAGGCTGTAGGGGCAAGTCCTGTTAGTAGCAGCAGCGTCTATAAAGGTAGACACAGACAAAGGTCCCCCGTGTAGCCTCTAGCAGGCTGTAGGGGCAAGTGCTTTTAGTAGCGAGTAGCAGCAGCAGCGTCTATGAAGGTAGACACAAAGGTCCCCCGTGTAGCCTCTAGCAGGCTGTAGGGGCAAGTGCTGTTAGTAGCAGCAGCGTCTATGAAGGTAGCCACAGACAAAGGTCCCCCGTGTAGCCTCCAGCAGGCTGTAGGGGCAAGTGCTGTTGGTAGTAGCGAGTAGCAGCAGCAGCGTCTATGAAGGTAGCCACAGACAAAGGTTCCCCGTGTAGCCTCTAGCAGGCTGCAGGGGCAAGTGCTGTTAGTAGCAGCAGCGTCTATGAAGGTAGCCACAGACAAAGGTCCCCCGTGTAGCCTCTAGTAGGCTGCAGGGGCAAGTGCTGTTAGCAGCAGCAGCGTCTATGAAGGAACAATTAAGTTTGCAGACTTCACTTAAGAGCTCTCTGTATCTCGGCTGAGATTGATAAAAACACAACATTATAACCGCCCGGCATTCCGAACGCAAACTTATTGTTGATAAAAAAATGCTGACTTAGTATACAAATTATAAAATGTATAAATAACTAAACTTGTTATACAAATCACGTCGTGTTTTACCTCAGATCTCTCTCTCATTCCTCGTCTGAGGTTTAAAAAAATGTTTAACCGCCCGTTCATAGCAAACTTATTGTTTTTAATTACAAAATGCTAACTTGGTATACAAATTATAAAGTTATGTTTTACCTCAGAACTTTGATCCTCGGCTGAGGGGCTTAAACAAAACACCAAATATAAACCGCCCGTTCCGTATGCAAAGTTACGATCGTTATTAATTATGAAAAATGAAAACTTCTTATACAAACCGTATGAAACGATTGTTGTTGTTGTTTTTTACCTCAGAACTCTCTTCTCTTCCTCAGGTAGAGGTTTAAAAAAAAAATAACTGTTAACGCTAAATGTTGGTAACCGCTCCCTTCCCGATGCAAACTTTCAAACAAAACCCCGCCCGCCCACTGCCTTCACGCTTGAATTCACGTTGTAGAACTCTAACCGACTGCAATAATGTTGTTAGTATTGTTGTTAATGTATTTATTTTGAAATATACAAAGACACACACAACGTTGTCCGAACGTTCGTACAGAGGAGGTTATTTATTTATTTTATTAACCGCCGCCAATAATCCGCCACGCCCACCGCCGCGTTTTTTAAACTCGGCGACCAATCAGAGAGCGCCTTCCCCCGTTCAAATTGACCAATCGTAATGGCGAGAACTCGACAACCACCCACATTCGCCCCACCCACTCCGAGGTCAAATCGACCAATGGGGTGGGACGCGCGGACGTGACGTCACCGGAAGTAGACACCGAATCGACACAGTTTGTTTTCATCGACGAGTGGAAGACGTCTACCGGTGGAGGTAGATATCTTCCGGTAGAGGTAGATGATCTACCGGTGGCGCAGGTTGATCTACCGGTGGCGGAAGATAGTCTGCCGGTGGTGGAAATTTGTCTACCGGTGGAAGTAGACATCTTCTGGTAGAGGTAGACGATCTATCGGTGGCGCAAGATGATCTACCGGTGGCGGATGATGGTCTACCGATGGTGGAAAATTGTCTACCGGTGGAGGTAGATATCTTCCGGTAGAGGTAGATGATCTACCGGTGGCGGAAGATGATCTACCGGTGGCGGAAGATAGTCTGCCGGTGGTGGAAATTTGTCTACCGGTGGAGGTAGACATCTTCCGGTAGAGGTAGATGATCTACCGGTGGCGGAAGATTATCTACCCGTGGCGGAAGATGGTTTACCGGTGGTGGTAATTTGTCAACCGGTGGAGGTAGACAACTTCCGGTAGAGGTAAATGTTCTACCGGTGGCGAAAGATGATCTACCGGTGGTGGAAATTTGATCCACCGGTGGCGGTAGAAATCTTCCGTCACCGGAAGATCTCTTCCTTGCAAAAGCTCTTATCGATTTGTGTGAGTGAACATATATGGTGGGCCGGCCATAAATGACGTCACGCGATTTTGGAAAATTTTTGACCCCGCCCCACCTCGTCACACTACATCACAAAAAGTCAGACCCCTCCCCCCCCTCAAATATGACGTCACAAAGCTCTGCCCCCCACCCCTCCCCCAAAAACATATTTCCATTTTAAAAATAAAACATGCTTCAAATCGCTTTAAACTATTGCCATTGTAGTGCGTATTTAATGTGGCGCGTTCACTCCGATGTTGTAGGATAAAACGTTTATTTAAAAGTCTATTTAATTAAGTAGAACGTTTTGATTTAAAGCTTTCGTTACTGCAGGGATTCACATTCTTGGTTCTTTCGGTAAAGTCACCACCACCACGTAGAAAAGGAAACAATAAAATAATAAAAATATAAAACAATACAATTCTCTCTATGATACCATTAGTAGGCCTGGGCTCTGGGTTGTGCTTCGTGCTTTTGGAGTCCCTGACCCTCTGCTCACTATCATTAAGGACCTTCATGATGGTGAACGGGCCCGGGTAAAACTACGTGGCCGGGAGTCAGAGCCATTCCATGTACACCTTGGGGTGCGACAGGGATGTCCTCTGGCTCCCACATTATTTAACATCTATTTTGACCACGTAGTTCGTGAAGCCTTCAATAGCTCTACCGGGGGAATCTCCATTTGGTACAGGTATAATGGGAGGCTGATCGATGCCCGGGTGCGGTCAAGGGATGGCTCCCTACCATCGGACACTCCACCCCCACAACTCCCAATCGGTGATGGGGCAGTTGCGGAGAGAGTGGAGAGTTTCCCATACCTGGGCAGTGTGCTTATGACCGGCTCCAGTTTAACAGCAGAGGTCTCACTCCAAATCATTCGAGCGGCAATATATTTTCATCGGTTGCGTAACGCTGTGTGGAAGCTACCTGGTCTGTCGCTCCGCACTAAGCTTCAGGTCTTCTCGGCCACGGTCATTCCCTCCCTTCTCGACGCTTGCGAAACGTGGACCCCCTTAATGGAACATCTTCACCGGTTAGAAACATTTAGGCTAGCCTGCCTACGATCCATCCTGGGTTTAACCAGGCTGGATTTTGTGAGGAGCTCACAAATCCTTGAAAGATCTGGGCAAGGTCCCATCGGTGAGCTCCTCCGGCAGGCAAGGCTGCGTTGGCTGGGTCATGTAGCCCGCATGCCCAGCCACCGCATGCCGTAACAGCTTTTGTTCGGCCGGATCGAAGGGGCTAAACGGGCACGGCACGGGCTAGAGAAGAGATGGAGTGATGTGGTACAGGAGGACGTGGAGCTGAGTGGACTTGCCGATGACTGGTACCAGCGGTGTCACGATCGGCCTCTGTGGAGGAGGCTCGTGAAGGACGCTACTGGGCACTTGGAGATAGTCGCCCTCCAACAACAACGGAGGGCGTAGGAGCGACGCTCACAACAACGAGCGGAGCGCCAGGTGGCTAAAGCACAGCAGGTTGGCACAGTAGGGGGCACAGGTGGTGCATCAGCCAGTCATCTCAGTCAGTCGACCCGTGGCACCTGGGTCTGCCTCGTGACCTCCTGCCAGCGGGCGTTCGACACTCCACGTGGCCTCAAGGTGCACATGTCCTGGCACAAGCGTCGTGGTGACGTCACCGCCACTTAGTGGCGAATGGCGGTTGTTGTTGTCTGTGTGTCCGTGTGTGTGTGTAAGTGTGTGTCTGTGTGTGTGCATGGTAGTCGTGGTTAGCGTGCTGTGCTACAAACCCGGCAACCCGAGTCCCGCTCACAAAGGTCCCCCGTGTAGCCTCTAGCAGGCTGTAGGGACAAGTGCTGTCAGTAGCGAGTAGCAGCAGCGTCTATGAAGGTAGACACAGACAAAGGTGCCCCGGGTAGCCTCTAGCAGGCTGTAGGGGCAAGTGCTGTCAGTAGCGAGTAGCAGCAGCAGCGCCTATGAAGGTAGACACAGACAAAGGTCGCCCGTGTAGCCTCCAGCAGGCTGTAGGGGCAAGTGCTGTTAGTAGCAGCAGCGTCTATGAAGGCTACCGGCACTGTGGCACACACAGAGAGAGGGGGTGGTGGGTGGCCAGCACCACGCTCGCCCGGCCGCCTTTGTCTCTCCCCCAGTGCTGGCGATGTTTATACTACACACACCGCTCATTTGAAATTCCCTCTCAGTGGGGGGCGGGTGGGGGGTGACATGGGGGGGGGCAGGGGGGCTCAATCAAAACCACCGCAGCGTGCTACCAGTGACATTTCACTCGCGTCTCAGAAATGCAAATTTCTGAACTCCACCCCTGGGTGGACATTGCGGGTGGCTAGGAGATGTTGACTACCTCGCCTGGTACGCAGGAGGTCCCGGGTTCGATCCCGGACCCTGACGGTGCCTGCTGCTGCTGATTATTTGGAGTCTGCGTCTCTCTCTCTCTCATCATCACGGTGGCTAGGAGATGTTGACTACCTCGTCTGGTCTACAGGAGGTCGCGGGTTCGATCCCGGACCCTGATGGTGCCTGCTGCTGTATATTTGGAGTCTATGTGCCTCTGTCTCTCATCATCATCACGGTGGCTAGGAGGTGTTGACTACTTCGCCTGGTACGCAGGAGTCGCGGGTTCGATCCCCGACCCTGACGGTGCCTGCTGCTGCTGTTTATTTGAAGTCTGCGTCTCTCTCTCTCTCTCTCTCATCATCATCACGGTGGCTAGGAGATGTTTACTATCTCGCCTGGTCTACAGGAGGTCGTGGGTTCGATCCAGACCCTGACGATGCCTGCTGCTGCTGTATATTTGGAGTCTGCGTCTCTCTCTCATCATCATCACGGTGGCTAGGAGATGTTGACTACCTCGCCTGGTCTACAGGAGGTTGTGGGTTCGATCCCAGACCCTGACGATGCCTGCTGCTGCTGTTTATTTGAAGTCTGCGTCTCTCTCTCTCTCATCACCATCATCACGATGGCTAGGAGATGTTGACTACCTCGCCTGGTGTGCAGGAGGTCGCGGGTTCAATCCCGGGTATCGATCAGCCCTTGACCACACCCATTGTATCTGTACCAGATAACAATGCCTCCGGTACAGCCATCGAAGGCTTCACGAACTACGTGGTCGAAATAGATGTTAAATAATGTGGGAGCCAGAGGACATCCCTGTTGCACCCCAAGGTGTACAGGGAATGGCTCCGAATCCCGGCCACGTAGTTTTACCCGGGCCCAGTCACCATCATGAAGGTCCTTAATGATCGTGAGCAGAGGGTCAGGGACTCCAAAAGCACGAAGAACAACCCAGAGCCCAGGCCTCCTGATGGTATCATTGGCCTTGACCAGGTTAATAAAGCAGAGATGTAGGTCTTGCGGGAATTCCCTACACCTCTGCTGTAGCAGACGGACAGCCCAAAGTAGCCTGGGACTTACAGCTTCCCACACCTCACCGCCACGCTCCCACGCCCCCTTCATTCTGTTGTTCAGAAGAAGAGCCACATCCTGTTGCTTGGCAGTGTCCTGCCCCGAGTTAGAGGACTGTCCACCCCTCATGGTGGCAGGAGCCAGAGCCGGTCCACCGGACCTCCTGAATACCGCAGAGAACCAGACGGTACCGGTCCAGCTCCCGACAGAGGAGTGGCAGCCTCTCTTCCGCAGTGAGCGTTCGTACAAAGAAGACACACAGACATACACAGACAGACACACACGGACACATAGATACACAGACACACAGACAGACACACAGATACACATGGACGGACGATGGTGGCCTGAATCATGTTGGTCGCGACGTTTCGGGCACGGACCTGGAAAAGTATTGACACCCGCGGTGTGGGGGAGGGAAGACCATCACAGACGATTTGTCGAAAGCAAAAGTTATATTTATTAAATATCCCTCCAAAATAAAACAATCATCATTATCATCAACAAATCCTCTAGCAATGCACACTTAAATCCGTAATGCGCGTGTATATATAATGCATGAGTGTCAATATATCACACGCACGCGTGTGCATGTGTGTGTGCACATGTGTGTCTGTGTGTGTCTGTGTGTGTCTCTGTGTGGGTGTTTCTGTGTGTCTATCTGTGTATGTGTCTGTGTGTGTGTGTCTGTCTGTCTGTGTCTCTGTCTTTGTGTGTCTGTGTGTCCGTGTGTGTGTCTGTCTGTGTGTCTGTGTCTCTGTCTTTGTGTGTCTGTGTGTGTGTCTGTGTGTGTCTGTGTGTGTCTGTGTCAGTCTGTGTCTGTCTGTGTGTCTCTGTCTTTGTGTCTGTCTGTCTCTGTGTCT